AAATGGTAGTGTGAATGAAATGAAATTCCTAGTTCAATGAATGTGTTCTTGAATTATTATATTTGAAGAACAATTCATAATTTCAATATTTCAATTGGGATTCCCGATTTGTCCCAAAATCCCGAAAATATTTCGGGAGTTCCGAAATTTGGGATTCCCAAAATTTTGGTTTGGATTTGGGTCTCAATTCCGTCCCGCAAATTTTCGGTTTGGGATTCGGGATACTAGTTTCGGTATGGTATCCCATACCGAACCACCCCTAACCGTAACTACTACTCTTATTACTCGGCATAGGTACAAGACTTGATCATCCAAATTTACCTATATAACGAACTCAATTACAAAGTCATTTCTATGTTGATCAATCATAAAACAACTCAATAAGATTAGAATTAAAATAAGAATTAACCATTAAAACATCAACAAATTGTTTTGTAACAAAGTGTATCAAAAATACTCAAGGAAACAAGATTAGGACTTCAGCCAAATCCCAATTCCCAACTATGAATTTTAGTTGCTTATAATGAAAAAAGGCAGCAAAAACATCAACAATAAATAAAAAGAAGAAGACTGAACTCTCTGATGATGGGATGGTGCGACTGCCACTTCTCCTTCTTTGTTTTCGTTACTACTGCTTTTTTCGTTACTGCTGCTTCCTCCTGCTTTTTCTGATTTTTTTTTTCTTTTCCCGCTGCCTCCTCTCATCTCCCCTTTAATTTGCAACCGCCAAAAGGCCAATAGCCTTCCTTTCATTTCCAGCTTAACGGACTTCAAAATTTAAAGTCCTATTTTATTAAAAGGAAAACTAACGACAAGTTCAAAAAAACTTTTCTTTTAATAAAAAGTTTTTTTTAAAAGTATAGTGAGTAGTACCAGGGAAATATATAAATGTGATTTTTCGTTAAAAATGAATAGTACCAGAAGAGTTTTGTTAAACCTCTCTTTATTAAAACCTTCTTATTTATTTTCGTCCAGTCTTTATGGCTTCTTCTAGCAGAATAACATTCCTAATAAGTAAAAAATTTAACTCTCATTTAATCTGCCATGTTGATACACTTTTGTAGAAAACCTTGTATTTGCACGTGGCCCAACCTTCATGTACTAAAACTGCCATAACTCCCTTTGAAAAAATGATATTCATGAACCGTAAAATTCTACGGAAAATAGACATCGGTAGCTATTCAAGCATATATGGCACGTCTCCTGGTTCTTCCCAAATCAGTACAGTTTAATCCACGAACTCAACTGATCTGCAGAGACTGTGCTGACAACATGGAATTGCAAACCCCTTTTAGTCTCAATGCTTTCTTTTTAGCTCATTTTCCACTCTTTGCTTGTTACAACCTACAAAACATAAGTAGAATGTAAAAATCTATATAAAAGAGTAAAACAAAGGTGTAAACAAGAGGAATTAATTGTATATGATAGTGAATTTACGAGCATAACAATGACCACAATCACGTTGTGCCTGGGCTCAGTGAAAAAAAAAATTAAGAAAAAGGTTAGAGGATGCAAGGGATGTGCATGTCCATAAAATAAGCGACAATGAGTTTTATGTTTTCCACGTGGATGATGAAGCTGTGGTTGGTATATATAACAAGACTTGCACCTATCGGAAATTCAATTTGGAGCAATTGACCTGCAAACACGCCATTATAGCATGCTTATTTGCAAACTGCAGCTTTTATGAGTTAGCTTCAACCTACTATACTTGTCGAGTTTGGAAGGATGCTTATTTAGATTTGATATACCCGCAGGGAATGCAAACTGCAGCTTTTATGAGTTAGCTTCAACCTACTATACTTTCCAGCAAGGAATGCAACACATGCAGCCGAAGACTCGTTAGTCCAACCTCTGACAGGTAAGGTACTGTCCCGAAGACCCAAGAACAGGCGTATCCCATCACAAGAAGAAGATGTAGTACATCGGAAATGCAAGCATTGCCGGAAGTTTGGTCGTAACGAGCGAACTTGTAAAGGACTTATTGCTATCCCCGAGACCACATGATTGTCCCCATGTCATGGTAATTTTGGATTCATAACAAATTACGCATCAACAATCTTTTTGATGTCATGGTAATTTTGGATTCATGTTAAAATTACATATCAACAGTCTTTGATTACATGAAAATTTCAATCGTCACTGTAACCTTATATATGTGTCATCGTCTTACAAATGGCACAAGCAGCTCCCTGCTCAATCTCCTCTGTTCATATTATGTGCATTAGGTGTGCATGTCCTATGCATGAGGTGTGCATATACAGTGCAAATCTTCTTGTGCATGGGGTATGCGTATGTTGTGTATATAAGACCGATGATGACCGATACCAAACTTCATTAAATGATTTCAACCGCTTTATTGTCGTACAATCACGCGAGAATCTGAGTCGAGAAGTGGAATGCCGTTTTTGGTATGGGGTTAATGATTATGGCAACAAATAGGTCAGTGTGAAAAGGCTATTTATACAAGTGGAGCATGATGTGGATGAAAACCCATTGGGTAAAATAGGGGTTGTTTGAAGGTGTTTATGTGGTGAGATATGATGCATGTGACAAATACAGGAACATATACAAGGTTACATTGAATTAAGTACCCAAACAAAATCTTAATTAAAACCTATTACTTTTGTAGTATATTATTAATAAACATTTATGAGTTGACATAAGAAGAAAACACATCTTACACAATTTAAATGCAATGCACATCTTAAGTAGATTAAGACAAGACATAAAGGTGAGATCATGTACAACACGTCTACACCACTTCTTCCTTGTCTTATCAATAAGGTTATGAACCCAACCAATCCATTTACCAACAAACCATGGAAGCAAAAAATTGCTAACCAATTAGCACTTTTTAGTTTGGGATTTACACTAATATGAGGTTGGTGCCTTTTCTATTATGGGGTAAGTCTCATCCTTTTTTACGCCAAGTCTTGAAGAGAATCCAAAGGCCAACATGACATAGCTGTTTATCACAAATTGCTTTAAAAAAAAAATGGAAAAGTATCTCACTCCTTTGCTTTTTGCCGCCATATATCCATCTTTTGAGTAGGGTACCAGAACAATATTTTGGCGCCATTTTTTTGGCCATTTTGCTAGGCAATAAGCAGCGCATTTCACATTACTCACTCTACACATGCACACACACCAACACACATTGCAAACTTCATCACATAAACAGCCTCCACGCCTGCAATAGTTTAATTATGTCCGCTTATGCAACACTGACTGGTGAATCCGACCTAGAGAACGAATCACTAGCACCTTCGATTTCAATGCAGAAAACCTCGTGGCAAAGGGAAATGCCGCATTTTTCAAGAGTCAGATCACCGACATTGAAAAGGAAAAAGAGTTATGTCGGGCAAGAATTGAGCGATTGAGCCAAATCAAGCACGGCCATACACTTTGAGTTCGGCAGAACTGCATCAAGGTGAGGTTCCTGAAACACAAATTGAAACACTATTGTATGAGGACAGTGTTAGGCGGTTCAAGGTCTCCGACGAGCTGGAGATGAAGCAGAAAAAGGCCTACACAGCAGGTGTTGAGTTGTTCCAGGCATACGCAATCTTCATAACGGCAACATGGCCAAAACAGATTGGCTTGATATTGACAAGCGCAGCCTCCTTCGTAGGCGTTTGTTTTAGGTGTGGCATTCACCAGCCATCTTTGTAGCCGGGAAAAGTTGGATGTTCTTGTGCTTTAACGATACATAGTTCCATTGCCTTTTTTGGTAGATTGTAAAGGTCATTTTTTTTGTAGTCTTCCAATGTTGAAACTTACATAGACCTTCTGAACTTGTTACACCACTGTTCTTCTTGTTAATTGGGACATTGGCACATCAAGATAATACTTTTGTTCACTTTGATGTAACAGTGATTATCAACTCTTCGTAATGACATAGGATTAATGACTACTTCTATTTCTCTCTTGTTCACCATTTAGGATAAAAGCCAATGCATGCTTTCAGTTATGCTTAAAAGAACATAACAAATTATCAAAATTTAGTTGCTCAAATTTAAAAGCCAAGAGACTTAGAAATTTCTAGAGAAACTGCCTGATGTCCATAACATGTGAATGTGCATGGCCTGCCTGATGTCCATAACATGTGCATGATGTGCATACCATGTCCATGACGTGCATAGCATGGGTATGATGTGCATACCATGTGCATGGCATGTACATATGCTAATTACAAATTGTAATTTTCCAAATTATTCCTAAGTGGGAAATTCGAAATGGGGCAAAAATTTGGGCGCCATTTTTGAATTTTGGGAAACGTACGAAATATACCCCATTTTTGAAAAAAGTAGTCCTTTGATTTTGTGTCTATAAAAGAAAACACAATACACCCAATTTCCTCATCCCTCAAACAAAGAAATCCATACCACAATCAAGCAATGAAATCTTCATGTTCCTGTTCCCACTCTTGCTCCTCTCCTACCTCTCCCCGGAAATCTTTTTCTTCCCGTTCCCACTCTTGCTCACCTCCCACCTCCTCCCGAACCGAATACATAGTTTCGTTTGAGCCAAATGAGCTTGAAACAATTGTAGGAAGGATTATTAAGCATCAGGAGGATCATGTGAAGAACCTTGCATTGTTTGAAGCGGTAATTGAAAATGGCTCATTGAACTGTGAAGACGTTAGTGGCAAAAGAGATTGAGAAGTTCATGACATCCTCAACATACATTGACGCTATGGGTGAGCAATATAACCAAGGTTATCGTTTGGGACTTTGTGAGGGGTTTGAGGTATTTTGCCGTTATGCAATGAAAATGGATGTCAACAGGAAGTGGGTGACCATTGACTACTGCAAGGCACTTGCCGTTGGGGCCATTCACTAGGGAAAATTTGAACTTTTTTGTGTGTCCTTCAAATTTTCTTATATTCGACATTTTGCGTGTGGTATTTCATAAGGAGTACCTTAATATGAGAATTAGATCAATGTTATCTGCGTAATTTAAGATTACCAATAGCAACACAAACCCCTTAATTGATAAGTAATAAAATTAAGATTGTATACTGAATATCGAAAACAAGCAATGGAAAAGTGTACTAAAATTATGATTACATACTAAGTACTAAAATTACGATTACACCTAAACTGCAAATTGTACAAAACTTAAAAGGAGCCGAATTGTTTGGTTATAACAAGAAAAACTGCTCAAATAAATGTCCACATAACCTTTCACAAAAATGCACGACCTCTTATGAACTCGATGGCAAGCTTGAGTCTGAAAACCCCCATGTTCCGAGGAGCAATGTCATGAATGGCCAAGCCAGTGGATAGGTAGTTGGCAAATTTTAATCAAAAAACTCTGTAGTCTGCCCTACCACAACACGACAAGTCCAGGTTACAACGCACTAGATATTTAGGACATTTAGAATGAAGTTAAAGATAAGTCAGAAAACAACGTACTTGTTGTCCTGTTGGCCGCACTTGATTACATGCTCAATATCAAACAGTTTATCTATCGTTTTCGGGGTTAGGTTCAAAACGGGTCGCGCCTTGTTGAATTCTGTCACCTTTAGAAGTGTGGGAATTACAAAACACATATGCACAAGTTGTTTCTTCATTTTTTTCCCACTCTGACCTCGAGAAATGTGAATCATAAACCATGATGGTGCAACGTTAGAGATGGACATGAGCTAACAACCAGTAGTCACCATTCATGTGACATGAGATGAATACTTCGTCGACTTCCTCCCATTCACACATGTTTGGCATCATGTCTGCAATGCCTAAAACGACATTGATCAACTATCTCAAAGGCCTAAAAACCAAAGCTTCTTTTGCCTTTGCCTTCCCATTGCCTTTAACATTGGTTTTGCCATTCTCAAAATCCGTAACTTCCTTTTTCATTTTTTCGGGCACTGATGCATTGCAACAAAAGTAAAGATTTTCTCACGTAAAACAAAAAAGCAAGACATGTATGACTATTTGTAAATGAGAATGAATTCATATTAAGAACATAAGTAAACGAAATATAGAGTAAAAATAAGAACATAACACCTACCCAGAAAAAACAGTCAATCGTTGTCCACCAATCCCCGAAAAGTTTAGGATGCTCCATCGATCACTTCCTCAGAAGGTAAAGGCCGACGTTGATGTGCTGAATCGAAGTTAAAATGCATTGTAAAAGGCAAAATTAAACACTTGAACTCACTTATAATATGGTAAACAGAAAGTAGTTACACATGAAGAAAAAAAATACTTATGTTGCTCTGTAGAGTACCCTTGAAATGGATGAGTGTGGTAAAAAAACCGACCCACAGTAACCAATGTGTACATGTCGACTCCATCGCTGATACCCAAAAAACCCACAGGTTGTTAGGGATATATGGACAGTTTTTGAATATTCAATGGTTTGAATGACCACTGAAAGTGAACATACCTCGGCGAATGTGCCCAACTCGTCACGATGTCGATGAACACTTCCACATCGGGCTTGGGGATGATTCGTATGGGATCTGGGACAACTCCGACACCCTTGGCTCGACTATCGCCAACTTTACTTCTTTTGTAGGATTGGAAATGGGTGAAATGGTGCACAAGCTGCATTTCTTTATGCTTTTGCCGCATTTTCTTATCGAGAAGCGGCTCGAAATCAGATGGACCCGCAAGCTCATTCACGTCGACGCCTTCCTCATTTTGGCCATTATGCTCATTGACCTCTGTGTCATTGCTTCCTCCAAGATAGACAATTTGGTCTTCTCCCAATTCACCATCCAATCTAAACTCCAATATATCCAAGAGTGATTAGACGACATCGTTTGCATTGAAGGCCGAAATCGTGCTCAGTAAGACGACATCAAAAGTCGAAAAATTCGCATTGGGGGCTATCAATTCGATTCTGTCATGTAACGTCCCGCCCCGAAATAGTTATTTCGGAAAATAATTTCAATGTTAGGCCCAATTTAAACTCTTGATAATTTACTATCAAAAGTTAAGATTCTCTAGTTTAAATTCCTTAATTCCACAAATGGTCTAAACCAAAATTCTCTTATCAAAACATACAATTATTCAATTATTTTACCAATTTATTTCCATTTTCTTCTCTTAGATAAAGATTCCAACTAAATATTAATTCTCGATTATTTAAGGCTACATCTAAACTCTGTTAGACTGCCTACGTACCCTTGAGCGGGATCAAGTCTTTCATAGTTCACATTTCCAAAATTCAAACCAATTCCGAATCTATTCAATTAATCCAACATATACCACAATCGTGTTAATATTTAAACCACAATAGTTAGATCTCAAAAGCATAATTGGAATAATGAAATTCACATAAAAACACAATGTCGATTCCCTGGCTGTGCACCGCCGCAGTTGGCGGTCGGCCACCCCGACTCACCGGAAAATTCAACTATTTCTAAAAATTCTCAAAAATTATAGAAATGAAGATCTCAAAGAGTAGAGCAAACTTAATACCTATGGCCAAGTCCAATTTGGTTGGGAAAGGCTCCAATTTGCCTCGAAACCCACTGGAACCCTAGATATGAGTGGGTTTTGATTCTTCGTTTTCAGTGCTCAGCCGCGCCCATGGTGGTTTAGGCTTTGTCCTGGCCTCAAGGGAAGTTGTTTGATGGTGGTGGTGGTCGACATTTCTTTCATGATCGTCGGATTTCGCAATGGCACCCTTGGAACCCACGGGTTCCGTTCTACAAGAATTCAAGCTCAAACCTAATAAGATTTGGTTGGAAATGGAAAAGGGAAGGGCTAGATCATGATTGGGAGTGGTGGATCGGCCCAATTTGTCGGAAAACGATGAATTTCGCCGGAGAAACCCACCAACTACAACCGGGTCGCTGGTCGCACTGATCAAGGGTTGATTTCGTGCATCTTGCCTCTCTCTCTTCCCCTCATTTCTTCTATTTTTGATTAGTCACCTCATTTTCCTCTCTCTTCTTCATTGGGCACTCAACCTTCCCTTTTCCCAACTGGGCTTTTTTTTTTTCCTGGTTGGCTTCCCGCTGCTCTTTCTCCCCGTGGCATATTTCCACCCAAAACAGAATCTGGAGCCTTCCAGATTTCATGGCAAAATGACTATGTTGCCCCTACTTTCGTTCATTTCTATTTCATTCGTTATAACTCCGTTTCACTAACGGTTTTCACCCACACGCTCATAGGGTCATCCTCTATCTAACTATGTGCAGACATCTGATAAAATATACAAGGATAAAATATGTTCTTGTATAATTACGTTAAGTCAATCAGGGCATTTTTGTTTTTTTATTTCACTTCACAATATATTTTACAGCGTAACTTATAATAATTTACGAGAACAAACTTTAAAAGTTCTCCATTCAATTTTTCATAACCATAAATCAATTTATTTTCGATTTTTCTCCACATAATTATATATTTAAAATTTCAGGGTATTACATGTATTTTCCTGGAGGCAACTTTTGTTCGCCGGTAGAGGTGTCAGGTTGAGGGGATGGTGCAGTAAGATCTTCATAACGCATGTTATAGCCTTGTGGAAGGGTAGGGAATTTTTCCAATTTGGTATCCTCAGGGTCATTTTCTGTGTCTTTTGCTAATCCTACAGACCTATTAGGGCTCGGGGGTTTCTCAAATGATTGGTCCGTTGTGTCGCCTTGGAGATGTTTAACCTCGATAGCCAAGGCCATGTAGGCACACCACTCAACCTCTAATTCCTTTGAAATTGAATTGACTTGAAATCCTCATCAACCAACCAAAATGGAAGCAAATTAACAATGACCAGCATCATGCATCAGAAGTCTATTAAAATTCCACATTATATAGACAATTCTGTTATTACAACCCCAGAACATCCAAACAAGCCAAGAGGTTCTGGGAGGTAGTAGCAAACTTAATACAACGGTAACAAACTCGACTACGACTCAATGTCCTCAGAACCCATGAATCTTGATCTAATCCTTCTTGACAATCTTGGCCTAAACGAGAAACTGCAGTACGGTCTTGCGCTAATCACCTTGGAGCTGAATATGCAAAGCCATCAAATGTATATTGTATATTGCACAATATGCAAAGCCATCAAATGTATGCAAACCGATAACTAATTTAATTCTCGGTATTTAACATTTCTAATCATTCGAGTGGATATCCAAATCATTATCACAATATATTAAGTACACTATCAGGTTCAAAAACATGGATATATAACTCTCAGATAAATAGAAAACTACTAATCTTACCCAAACTTTCTGTACAAATTTTTCTCACTATGATTATCTAATGTAGCATAGAGAGAAGTAATTCAGTTACCATCATTAAAAATTTACTTGAAGAAATCAACCCAGAAAGAAAGGAAAAAACCAAAAAAAAAAAACTTCAAAGGATGTAATGCAATCTATGCATACAGCTCACCAAAAAAGCAACTCAGAACTTTCACTAAAACAGGAAAAAGCAAAAAAGCATAAAGTTTAATGGAATCGCTGCAATCTATCAATCCAAAGAACCCAAGTAGCAAATTGAAAGAAAAGGGTTGTATGCTACAGCTGGAGAGAGAGAGAGAGAGAGAGAGAGAGAGAGAGAGAGAGAGAGAGAGAGAGAGAGAGACTGTTCTTGTGCTCGATGAGGAGGGTCCGAGTCTGAAACTTGACACTGATGGTGGCCATGGAGTCCAAGCTAAACTCGTTTCGATAATATCTGGCCAGAATCTGAAACTTGCCCACCGCAGAGTCACCTATCAGTACCACCTTGAACACATAGTCTACCTCATGGTTTCAATTGAATCAGAAAATATTGTGAAAAATAAGAAGAGAGATTGGAATTGGATTCAGAGATCAAACCTGGAGATGCAAAGATCGAACCTGGAGATGCAGAGCTTTGAGTTCCACTCCGTGGGCAAGAGAAAAGAGAGGCTATGGGAGAGGATGAGGACTAAGGTTGGAGAGACCTGTGAGAAACAAGGCAATGGCAGAGAAGATGGAAAGAAGATGATAGAATTTTAGGGTTTGTTTTGTGATTAAGGTGGTGTAAATATTGAAAAAGAAGAGGGGCATTTTTGTCTTAAAATTTCATAATTTTGTGTTCCAGGAGGTAGAGGTGGAACGAAAATTCAGCCAAATTTCATCCTATGGAACAGCGTGTTCCACTGTTTTTCGCGCACCAAACGTAAGACAGAACGCTTCATCCCACTGCATTCCGTCCCGTCCCACGTACCAAACGGTACCTCAAGTCTCGCACCAACACGTGAGCATATTACTAGTACCAGCTAGAACAGATATTCATTTAAGAATCAATCAAGTATATGCATCTATCATTATTTTGTTTGATTTTGAAAATAAAGAAAAGGGGTAATATAATTGAGTAGTAATTTGTACGTTTGGCCGGTTGGTTAAGGAGGTACCGTCCTCTAGTCAAATGTGATAAAGATCCAGATGGCTTACTTAGCTTGCTTACATATACATGTTATATATTTGTATTTATATTAATCATATGAATTGACTTATCTGTATATTAATCATATGAATTGACTAATCCGAGGTCTCCTATGTACAAAACTTTGTATTCACGTACTGTCACATAATATTTAACGTTGTATCAGCATTATATTTCATATACTGATGTCATATTAACAATATCTACCAACGAGATTTGGCACGAGGCTTTGTGTTCGCTTGCAGCTTAAGGATCTTCACCACCATTTCCGCAGAGTACCTCTCGGCTATTTCTTTCAGCACTAAAGCTATGCATGTCGCTATTCACATGACGGATGGGCGTCCACCAACCCAATTCCAATTCCCAGCTTCTCAGTTACATGCACTTCAACACGTCCCCCCCTGAGCTGTCTAGTATGCAGAACCACTCACCCCACCAAACCGCGGCGCCCCCCCACCCACCCGCTCCATCAATTGCCACAAGAATAAAAAAACAACTCAAGACGACTCCACAAAGTCTCCTACTTCCTCACAATCTTCGCCACATAATCCCACATACATCCACCATTCTGAAACCGCATACATTTGTCCTCATTTCGCACCCACGTGAATCCCGTGAGTTTGGCTTTCAGAAACGGATGATTGGAAACCGGGTTGTAACGATCAACTTTAACCGTTTGATCGATGGGACTGGGATCGTGGAAACTAACCCCTGCATTATAGTCCCCTCATTGTAGCCACTCGGCAGAAACAAGAACAATGGCAGAGGCAACAAAGAGGTAGTAGTGTTTTAGTTCTTATGTATCTTTTGATCAAATAAAAAAAACCCTTTCTTATTTTTCGCATTTTTTTTTTTTTTTTGGGTTTCTGTATTTTGGTCAGGTATGCTGTTGTGACAGGGGCTAACAAAGGGGTTGGATTTGGCACAGTTAAGCAGTTGGCTTCAAATGGGATCATGGTGGTGTTAACTGCTAGAGATGAGAAGAGGGGCCTTGAAGCTCTTGAAAATTGAAAGAGTTTGGCGTCTCCGACCGGGTGGTTTTTCATCAGCTGGATGTAACAAATTCTGCTAGCATTGCTTCCCTTGCAGATTTTGTGAAAACCCAATTCGGAAAACTCGATATCTTGGTAATCCTTGAAATTTTGAGTTGGGTTTTACTCCGCAGATCATATTGCAATATAATGTCTGTTTTATACTGATGATGCTTGTTATAATCTATTTTTTCAAGTTAGAATAAACATAACAAAGATGAAAAGTTGGAGCTTTTCTACTGTGTAGGTAAACAATGCAGGAATTAATGGTAGCATAGTAAACCCTGAAAGTTTTAGATCAGCTGTAATTGGTAAGGTGAGGTTATGTATAGTGTGTTTATATATCATCATCATAGAGTGAAGGTAATTTTAGACTTATATGCGATTGTAATTGATGAGAGTAATGATTTTGGATGCAGATGCCTGATGAAATCAATTGGAATGAAATATCGATGACACCAAACTATGAGTTAGCAGAAGAATGCCTGAAAACAAACTACTATGGTCCCAAAAGTGTGACTGAGGCGCTTTTACCCCTCCTCAAGCTATCTGATTCGCCAAGAATCATTAATGTTTCTTCCGGTGCTGCTAAGCTAATGGTATGATCAACTTCAAAAATATGCTTCTTCAAATGTACAAACAATATTGTTTTCTTTGCTTAGTTAAGTATAATGGAGCTCTGGGGTTACATTAGAACAATAATCAATTTTCTGGAAATGCTGGAGTTTTAAAATTTTTTATGAACTATATTAGTGAAATGTTTTTTTATTTTGGTTAAAGGATTACTTCATAGAAAACAGAAAGGCACAAGGCCAAACAACAAGCAGAGAGCATCCCTGCAAGATTAGATATACAAAGACAAGGATAATTAGGACACCAATAGACGCCACCACTCCAGAAGTGTCGTCCTACCTATTAGTGCAAAGAACACCCCACCCTTACAAAGGAGTACATGGAATACTGTCTTTGTTCAAAATGCCCATTAACGAAGATGGTGGTCTTACAACCCAGTTGAAGCCGCACATCTTTGGAGAAATATACCTTGCAACAAAATCCATCGCCATATTTGCTGGTCGTGGAGTCCACGACCAGGAGCATGATTGAAAACTCCTCCCAACCTCCAAAACACGGCTAAGGATTGGGAGTAGGTCCCAACACAACTCAGAGAAGGAGAATTGAGGGACCGCATAATAACTTGTGCTTCCGACTCAATTACCACCTCCTGCACTTGTAAACTTTTTGCCAATAAGCATCCTTCTAGAATAGCTAATGCTTCTACCATCACAACCGAAGATGCATGCACCCAGACACTTCTCATCGTCATGCAACCCGAGAAACAATCTCTAACCACAATCCCGATATGACCGTAGTGAGAGTCTCTCTTCCAACAAGCATCTAAATTAACCTTAACCCAATTAACTGGGGGAGGAAACCACAGAGCAAGGCGATGCATACCTCGAGAAAAACTGCTTCGGATAGCAGGTGACATACACAAAGGAGATGAGGCCAACATAAAAGAATCCAAGGCAGTGGTGATAGCCCGAATAGCTTTGAAGGGAGAGGGATTAACTCCTTTTAAAATGGCATCATAACGGGCCCTCCAGACAAACCAACACGAAAAAACCAATTACACCCTAGTTCGATCGAGGTCTTCCTTACAACCCAGATTTTGATTGACAACCAAACACAACCAATCCGCCAGAGTAGTGATTGAACTTCGATTAATTTGAATACACAACGGATCCCCATTCCACACCATGGAAGCCCATGGGCACAAAAGGAGAATATGCTCTATGGTCTCCTCACTTTCAGCACAAATGGGGCAGAGGGGGGATGCGGCACACCTACATCGAAAAAGATTGAATTTAGTGGTGCGAACGTCCTGCAAAGCCCTTTAAAGGAAGTTTCTCATCTTTTGGGGGGGGGGGGGGCTTTACAACTCCAAATCCAAGTCCAAACCCAAGGATCAACACTTCAGTAAGAGGAAGGGCGATCATAGCTCATAGTGGGGTGACGATTGTGACATCTTCAATATCCTAACTTGACTGAAAAAGAGCCATTTCATTCAAACGGCCATACAAGTTTATCTGGTCTCATAAGCGGCCCCACATAAATTTGAGAAATGGCACCACACTCATTCTTCGAGATAAGGTTGGAAAGAAGATCAAATTTCCATTCCCTAGAGACTGGATCTATGAACTCCGCAACCTTGCTCTCCCTATTGATACCCGAGTGACTAAGAGGGGTGGGGTGTGAAGGAAAAATTTTGTCCTAGCTAAGAACATGTAAGAACATTTGAATACATATGCAAACTAATAACACTTTAAAGTAGGCATGCATTCAAAAACAATTCATAAAACCCATGACTTTCAAAGCCTAGTATATGGTGAATCATAAGACTCTTTAACAAAATTAAAGAGAATAAGAATTTAGAGATTCTTTACCCTTGAAGCTCATCCTTGATTGCACAAGGGATTCACCCAAGTGGAGGGCCTTCAAGTCACCTCCTTGCTCCTTGGATCTTCCTTTTGATTTTCTCCCTTTTAGTGCTCCTTTTTCTTCTTTGAGGATTTGAGGATTTGTTCTCCAAAACACCAAAAGTTTGGTGTCTCTAAGTCTCCACACCAAAGATGTTGTGTGAAGATGAAATGGATGACTTAGGGAAGAAAGATTGCTAGATGTTCCTCACCTAAGGTAATTTGTTCTCAAAGAAAATGAGAGAGTTTGTTTCACCCAAATTCAATTAGAAAAACCCTAAGGATGAAATGGCTATAAAGATGTCTTTATACCACCTCACAATGGAGTGGCAAACTTGCAATTAAGCCAAGTTCACTACCCTCCACCCTTATGGCCGGCCATTAGTTGTTATTGGGCTTAATTGCCCATTTTGTTTTAGTTTTCATACAACTTAAACATAATGGGCCTTGTGGACCAAAACGTTTTTGTGCCCCGAAGCCCAAAACTAACTTAAATGCCCAATACGAACGTTTCGTATAATTAATTAACTATTTAATTAATCTTGACCATTCTTCAATTAAACCATTTAATTGCTTATCCATTTCATATAATTTCTTCACTTATATCTTTACTCGGTGTACGATCCATTAGGTTCCAATTAGCGAGGTAGTGGGCGATGTTACTCTTAATGATCGATTGTGAATTGAAACCACATTTCAATTCTCCCTTAAATTAGTGTTTGCTAATCTTTAGGGCTTCCACAAACCATGGGTAATACCTAGCAGCATGTCATGGTTACCCAAGCTAAGTAGAAGTGGTTGGAGAACCTATCCAGTTACAACTACAATGCAATACGGTCCTTCTCTAATACAATACTCTTAATCACATTGTTTAAGTGATAGTTTGTTTCATGTCTACTATCCAATGTGATACTTCTCTATATGATTCAATTGAATAAGATTTGGAACATCTTCCTTAGTCATATTCATATGCTTTGGCCAAAGACTCTCGAATCATATCTTAGAGTATTCTCCTTCCATCATGGAAGGTTAAAGATCCCTTGTTGTGCATTCATATGCCTACATGACTAGATAGCTTGACCCCAACAATGCCGTGGACACTCCAATGGAATGCCGTTGACATAATCAAAGATCAAGGACCTAACCATTAGACATCAATGATGCCTCAGGTCAAAGGACTACTTTGCATATTGCAACTATTGAGTTCTCACATGACATGTATGTTCGAACTCTCGTTTGATCGTTGTTTAGTGTACTCGATTACTCTTTCGAGCACCTATGTGTTTACCTTAGTGTCCAACACCAAATGACTTGAGACTAGTTCATACTCACGCTTGAGTCGACATAACACATACTAACCTTAGCGGATTGTCAATGCCCAATTGGCAATCCTATGGCTAGGAACGTTTTAGGAATGAACATAAGAGAAAGGTCTCGTTAATTTAACTAACTTAAATCACTTGTCTCTTAGATCAAATACATTCCTTGGATTCCCTTATTGCTTAAACACAAGATACTATAAATAGTGATTAACAATAAGCTTTGCCCTCTATTAAACATATAAAAGTTTAACACAATAAGTATTCCAAAAAGCTATTACATCAAATGAGTGGCTTTGTGGGCATACTTCCAACAGGGTGCCCCCCTAAGATGCCTGGGACCCAATTGTCCTCCCAAAACTGAACTTCGTGCCCTCCCATAATTTGCCATCTAGAACCCTTTAGAATGAAATCCCTCCATTGTAACAGGCTCACCCACTCCTAAGAGGCCCTTCCCCCTTTTAAGAGGCCCTTTCCCCTTTCTTAGTCTTCAGGAAAGAAACATTTGGGAAGTATCGCTCTTTCAATACATGAGCCCATAGGGAGTCAGGATCATGGATCAAATGCCAACATTGCTTCTCTAGTAGGCAATATTAAAATCATTAAGATTACAGAAACCCATACCACCCTTCTTTTTCGTCCCACCCAAGTCCTTCCAATTTACCCAATGTATGCCACCATCCTTGTTTGCCCTCGCCCACCAAAACCTCGCCACTACTGCATCAATTTCATTGCACAAGCTCACCGGCAATCGGAAGACGCACATTAGGTACATAGGAATAGCCTGGACCACCGCTTTAATAAGAACTTCCTTCCTCGTTTAAGAGAGAAATTGCTATTTCCAACCTGCAATCTTTGCCAATATCCGATCCTTGATAAACTATAAGATCTCCCGCTTTGATGTCCCCCAAATTGTTGGTAAACCCAAATACTTTCTTGAGTCATCCACCTTTGGCATTTCTAAGATGTTACAAAGTTTCGAAGCCAGTTGGGCCAAGGTATTAACCCCAAAATAAACCACCAATTTCTAAAGGCTAATATGTTGCCTGGAAGCTTTACAATACACATGAAGAAGGGAAGATAAATTTCTACAATTCTTCTTGGTAGCCAAAAGAAATATTAGAGTATTATCCGCAAACAATAAATGTGATAGCACTGGTCCTGAAGCAGTTATCCTGACACCTTCCAAATATCCCTGTTGCACCACCCTACTAATTACCAAGGAAAGAACCTCACTGATAATGAGAAACAAGTAGAGGGATAGGGGATCCCCCTGGCGAAGACCCCTTGTTGGTTTAAAAGCTCTCCCCAGCCTCTCATTGATTAGAATAGAAAACTCCACATTTTATACGCACCGCATAACCATATCAATCCACATTCGCTGGAAACTGAGATGCACCATAACTGCCTCCAGGAAGTCCCATTCAACCCGATCATAAGCCTTGTTCATATCAAGTTTGATCCCCATTTCAAACTTGGTCTTCGTTTTCCTCAACTTAAGGAAATGAAAAATTTCATGGGCCAAGATGATATTATCTTGTATTTGTCAGCCTGTATGAATGCATTTTTATTTGGCGAAATTATTTAATTCAACATTGGTTTCAAACGATTCGCCAAAATCTTAGGCAGAACCTTATAAGAATAATTACACAGACTTATTGGCCTGAACTGATTGACCCCTTCCGGGTTGGGGACCTTAGGAATCAAAGCAATATTGGTAGAGTTGATAATAGAGGGACATCCATCACCCCTTAGACAATCGGCAACAATACCATTGACCTTAGCCGCAATAATGTCCCAATAGGATTGGAATAACAAACCTTGGAAACCATCAGGTCCAGGTGCTTTAGATTCTCCCATGTTGAACACTGCATCTTTTATCTCCTCATCAGAAGAAGGACTACATAACATCTCGTTCATTTCAACCGTTACCACCGGGTCCAAGCAACTAAGGATATCCCCCCAGTCTCGATTGCCATCAGACGTAAATAATCTTTTAAAGTGATCTTCCACCGTCAGCCCAACCCCATAAGGATCTTCCGGCCAATTGCCCTCCTCATTCCGAATTCGTGCTAATTTGTTCCGACGACGCCTTAGTACTGTAGACTGATGAAAAAAAGTAGTGTTCGAGTCACCTGCCTGCAACCACCGGATTTTAGATCTAGCCGCCCAGTAAGTTTCCTCTTAAGCCTCAAGCGGGTTAATAGTTTCCGTGACCTCACCAATTTTTGCACCATTCTCCTCCCAATTCCGTTGGAGATGCCCAAGATGAGAGTTCAACATTTGGAGCTCGAATTTTCTTGCTTTG